TTTACCTGTAGAAGAGAACAAGTTATCAACTAAACAGAACATTTTTAAGCAATTAAAAACAAAAGCAAAAGTTAAGTCCCAAAAATTACAAAGATTAATCAAAAAGGAAAAATTTCACAACCAAGAAATGATTGCTCAAGTAGGAGTCAAGTCTAAATAAAGAGTAAATTGCAATGAGAGAACTGGAATACACAGTTTAGAATTGGAAAAAGAAAGTAAAAAAACTTGGTTAATTCCTTTGACAACAAAAAAACTAATTAGATCAATAAAGAAATTATTCTGTTTTTTTTTTTAGTAGTAACTTGGTGATTTCTTTAATGAATTGATAAAATGTTTAAATAGTTCTGTAGATAAAGCAAAATGTTCAGCCCTTGTTGACAGAATTTTATTAATAAATAAATTAAAATTAAAAATCACATGAAATGATCAACTGCTTGAGTTATATCCCATAAAATTGCCAAAACAAAAGGGGGATATAAAAGAGGTACAACTTTACATAAATCATTTGAATTAAATTGAACTAATAATTACTTATTACTCTGGGGAGCAAAAATCCAGTAACCCAAGACTGGAACATTGGAAATTCCAGAAAAATCGATAATTTATAAATCTAGAATGCAAAATCTGTAATCTCATCCAACAGCACCTTTCAGATAACTTCCAAAATCTTTTAAAAGGATGTATATGGGGCATACTGCAACAAAACCAGACAAAGTGAACATTGGTATAATATTCCATTTATTTTTCTTAAGTGATATATAGAACTATCCCTATATAAACTTACAGTGCCAATGTAAGTATTACTATTCCACTTCTTACAGTTTTGACATGTGTAAAATTTTTTTATAATTTCTTATATATTTAGAAAGGAAAACAAAGAAAAGATTTTGATTAAAAAGGAATTAATTAAAATAGACAGAAAAGTATTATGTAAAGTTGCAGAGAAAAAAAAAATAATATTACATCAAGAAAATTTTTGGGACACAATTTTATGCAAATTTAATTGTAAAATTTACAAGGTCAGAAAATTCAAATAGGGTGTGCAAACAAAAAGGAAGAGTGAAAAATTTGTATATTTAATTAATTTTTTAAAAAAAAGATTAGAATAATGTGCATAAAAATAAAAGATATTAAACAGAATAGTGGATGAATAAAGATGTACAAATTTTGAAAAGGTAGAAACGGAAAATGAAAATGAAATTTTGTGTATTTTGATATCTTGATTAAGTAAAAGGAAGTGAAAATTTTGTATTAACAATTTTTTAAAATAAAAGATATTCACATACACAAAAAGAGATAAACCTCAAAATTTTATAGATTCATTTTTCATTTTTTACATTGTTATGTACTGATCATTGAATTTATTCATTTCATTTATTGCTCTCTGGCTAAGTTTCTTTGGCGATGGATGGACATCAGGTATTGTGTCAAGAGACCGTTTTGGTTTGGCTTTGTTTTTATCTGTTGTTTCCATCTTGCAACATTACTATTACTGTCCATGGGATCGTTCACAATCTTCATTGTTTGAAGGACTAGGAGCTAGAAAAGAAGCTAAGTAATCTTTTGAAAGAGACTCAACCCTATAAAAAATTTTTTACAGAAAGTCCTACAAAATGTAAGGAACTGCGGGATGTGTAAGGAAAGTCCTACAAAATGCAAGGAAATTCGCATTTTTCCTTACATTCTGTAATTTTTTTCATGTACGGAAAAATGCGAATTTCCTTGCATTTTGTAGGACTTTCCTTACACATCCCGCAGTTCCTTACATTTTGTAGGACTTTCTGTAAAAAATTTTTTATAGGGCAAGAGACTTATATAAATGAGATATTTACCTTGGCATATATTATCTCAATCAGCACATCCAAAGATTTACTAAAGTTGTTCACACCCGCATAGACCTCTAATAAATTTCTCCTTGTATAACGGCAGACATACCCGGCCGGGCAGTCAAGACAAATCATCATCAACACTGCACCTTTTAAAAAAATATTAGTAATTATTAAGTTGTATCGAGAAGGTCCAGCAATACTAACCTGAATGAATGAAGCCAATTACATCCAGCTTTCTCATCTTTTGTTCTTCAAAATCAATCTTGGCGGCGAGATGGATTAAAATATCTTTTAGAGTTCTTGGTAAACTCAGACTGGATTCTTTCATGAACTTGGTGCCATGTGCACCCTCCCACTTTTTTCCAGCTTCTGATGCCACCCAATCAGTTGATGTCAAACCAAACGTCCTAACATATGCATCCCCTTTTTTACTAGTGATGTTAGCCAGCTAATAATCTGCATGCATAATTTCTAAATTTGGTAATAGATTTCTGCATTACTTTCTTGTTATAGAAATCAAATTACCAATTTAGGTAGTAAACGGCTTAGCTGGCTAAGGATTTTTAAACGGCTAACACCACTATTTTTTACCAATTGCTTTTCGTTGGGTTGGCCCTATATTTGCTAAGGTCCTGTATCTGTTTTTTCTTTTGGTACAGGCCAGACCAGCCTTCTCACCTCTATGTTTCAAAAATTAATAAAAATGGTTGCAATATAATGTATGTAAAAGGTTTAAAATTTTTTTCTTTAAATTCGGAGAATGAATAATTTTTGCCTACCCAATAACATAAGTGTATGGTGTATCAGAAAATGCTATATCAATTGTCCTTCAGACATTGATACAGTACCAGGCCTCTGGCAAATCCAGAGTAAGTGGATTAGGTTGCATCTCAAGAATTTGTACCCTGCACAATATTGACTTATTAATTTATTGCAGGAGTTAAGGAAAAACCTATCCCACAAAAGTTTCTTTGCCACTTACCAATCAGCAACTGTAGTCTTCACATGATCGTAAGCAAAATCTGTTTGTGGGTTGTAATTCTCTCCTAATTGGGGATGCATTATATTCAATGCTTTTCGTATTTCCTTTGTAGAATTCTGTACAGACAATCTGTTAGTTTACAAATAATGTCCAAAAAAATGATATGATATCAATCCAAGATAAATTTACTTTGGCAAACGTGTTTATGTATTCAAAAAGCCTTTTGTCAATTTCCGGTCTACTTTGTCTGTTCCCTTTTTCAACAATTTCAGATATCTCTTCTCCTGTGAATTCATCCTTAATAAAGGTATCCTCAATATCAATGATAAAAGAATGAACAAGACTAAAAGGCAAAGTCAGCAATTCTTCCTTGAAAGAAAAAAATACGAATAGCATATCATGATGTAACAAATTTTTACTTATGGTATCGGCATTGTATTCCAAGCTTGTAAAGAACATCCTCAACAAATCTCCCTGACTTCAGTTTCCATTTCTTCAAGTTTTCCAATGCATCAAATCTAAATTTAACAATAATTAATCACCATTTGTAACACAGGAAATATGTAAATAAAAATAGGAATGAATTGAATACCTTTGTTTGAAAAGATTCTTGTCTTTTATGCCAAACTCATCCTCATTGTTATTGTGATCATTTGAAGACTTTGATTATGGATCATGTCAAACTTTGTATCAAGCAAGATGAAAATAAATGAATTTAGGACTTACCAAAAAAAGAAATCCATGAAATCAGTCTTCATCTACCACTTCAGATGAACCGAGTTTTTGTTCTGACGAATAAATTTGGTGTTCAGGTGTTTGTAGCTCAACCTCATTCTCACATTGACATTTGTACGAATGAATATTTTCCATGCTCTCACCATCTGCCAAATGCTTTCTGATATTTTTCAGAGCAATATTTGAGTTCAAGGCATAATCTAGTTTTTTCTGGTCAAAGATTATATGAGCTTCATTCCCTACCAAAGTACGATCAACAGAAAACTGAAGCTGCAAACCGTGAAAAAAAAAAGTGTTGTTATTGCTCTTGCACAACTTGGAACTTATTATATACTGATCACAAATATCAATTTTGGACACATACTTTGGCTTGCTTTATTTTCACTTCCAGTAATTTATTTTCTGACTCGATTTTTTCGAGTTCAACACCCTTCCAAAACAGTTTTACATCTTCTCCTTGTGCTTGATTCTATGGAAGTAGGAATAAATGGTTAAAACTATTACACCAAAATCTGAAGGAGAGACAAAGTGGATCATAAAGAACTGTGAATGGATGTAATAGTTCTTGGCACTGTGGCATAAAAGCCTCTAGCCTTCACACAGACTTAAGATAGAGCCCACTGAGAGATAATGCTCCATTCCCAGCCCAGCATGTAGCAAGGCCACTTAGGTGATTGTTTCTGGCATAATAGCCCAACTCTTACTCTATTCTTTCACCATTTGCATCCTTTTCTTCATAAAAAAAAAAAGAAGTGAATACTTGCCTTTAGAGTTCCCAGCACTGAGTAAGGAAGTTGCCACCTTCCATTTTTTGTCTTTTTTATTTTCTGCAACCCATGACACAAATTTAGATATTGATAAATGCTCAGCCCATTTATCAAACAAAAATCTGCTTTTGTTCAATGGAAATTTAAGATGGAAAGGAGGCTGAGACTTTTGGGATCCAAAGTTGTTTCCCAACCTTCAAACTGTAATTATAATTTTACATTTTTCAAGAAAATGTGAAAATCCAAGGGATCAAAAAAAAAATCATATTATTATTATGTCTATTGAAAATTCACCTTGCTGATTTCAGTGTCCATTTCAGTGGTGAAAAAATATTTTCTGCAAAAATTGCATACAAGAAATTGGAAGAAATATTTTAAAAGACACTTAGTTATTTCAATGGCTACAATTAATAAAACAATGTTGAAGGCAATGATGACAATAGAAGCTGTAATGATAAGGCGAGAAGATAATAGTGATAATGATGATGATGATGAATCAGAATGCAGTGTTACGAAAACATGGGTAATACAGAAAACATATAATGTATTGGGGGTCCAATATCATATGTGTTATGATATATATGAAGCCACATATTAATTTTTATTATTGAGGATTTTTTAATGGT